CTGCTGTTACTGCTGCTGCTGCTGAGATGACAGTGACAGTGATAGTGAGAGTTTATGTCCAGGATAACACACCATTGAGCTGGAGGCCAGGAAGTTCACTTTGTCAGTAGGTGTAAAGTTGAAGGGGAGCCCCCTGGTGAGTGGAGGTGAAACAACAACATCTTCATGACAGGAACACAGGTTCTCATCCTTAAATTCCAGAAGAGCAGAAGTCAAAATGAAAAGTTCCTCTTTGTTGTTTGGATGTTTAACCCTGACTTTAGAAAACTGAGGGAATGAACTGAAGTAGATCCGTCGTATCAGACACGTCAGACCACTGCTTAGTCACAACGGTCACATCCTGGTTCATTTACTGATACATTACGTTTTTATTGATATTTTTCTATAAATTTCGTCCACAGCAGATTTCAGGTCTGAGCCAATAGAAAATCACGGATGTCTGTGAAAACTGTTCTGACATTTATGCTTCTTCTGAACATTTGAACCAACATCTTCCTTTAAGTATCTTTGAGTTACAATACTGCCACCTGTTGGGTCTGTGATTATTTTCACTGTCTACCCTGAAGCAACTGTATCACTGGTGAACAAAGATACAAACAAGAAGTGAGGCAGAAGATAACACAGAACCATGGACTTCCTGTGAACCATAATATCACTGTAGGGGGTCTGGGAGGGGGGGTCTGGGAGAGGGGGGGTCTGGGAGAGGGGGCGTCAGGACTTCTGCTCACTTTGATATAAATAAAAGTCCTCAGCATAAATCAGTGTTGATACAGTTTATCAGACTCACAGGAGTCAGTGCTGATGACTGTTGAAGTCCAACCACTGTCAGTGACTTCTCTGACGACCTGTGACGACCTGTGACGACCTGCGACGACCTGTGACAACCTGAGAGTCACGGCCATTTTGACTCGCCCTCATAAATATTATCTTCTGTTTGTGTTCACATCGGCTGTGCTGAAACAGCCTTGTTTACTGATTGGCTGTGAATTGACATCACAACCTTGGCTCGTTACATCAGGATCATCACAGGTCACATGACCACAGAGCGTCAGCGTCTCCACTGACACCAGCCTGGTTAATGATTGGCTGCTCAACCTGTGTGTGGGACGTTCAAGCCTCCTGTCTGAGTGGAGAGAGGTGTGTGTGTGTGTGTGTGTGTGTGTGTGTGTGTGTTCTGATGATGTTCACCTTCTGTTCAGCTGCTGCAAACACAGAACTGTTGTCAGGAAGTTTGAATATTTAAACATTAACAAACTGGACAGAACTGGAACTGGAAAGGTCACAGCAGTGGCTAAATGTAAAGACATTTAGCCTTTATTATTATTATTATTATTATTATTATTATTATTATTATTTTGTACATCATGAAACAGTGATTAGCAGGTAAGGTGATGAAACATGAAATCTCATTTGTTGTTACGTCTGTGGATGTGATATATTGTTGTTGTTGTATATATGTATATTTATTTCTTCAACAAATGTTTCCTTTTTTTGCCCTACAGTCCAGTTCGATGGTTTGGAAAAGTCTAGAATGTCTCCAACCAAGGACGGAAAAGTTCGTCCACTGCAGCGACACTCCAGCAGCTGTCTGGTCAACACTAAGATGACATCACTGGACCAGAGCAGCTCCTCAGTGGGCGAGCGAATCGACCCCTCGATGCCCCTGGAAAACCAGTTGTGAGTCAGATGTTGGTGTCGAATTAGTTCTGTTTCATTGAGCTCTATGTTCTTGTCACCTCTGACCCCTGGCGTCCCTCATGCTGTCTCACTGTCTGTGTCTCTGCTAGTTGGTACCATGGAGCCATCAGTCGGACCGACGCGGAGTCTCTGCTCAGGCTGTGTAAAGAGGCCAGTTACCTGGTGAGAAACAGTGAGACCAGCAAGAACGACTACTCCCTCTCCCTCAAGTAAGGACTGAAAAAGAATCTAACCCTAACCCTAGTATACTGTAGTGTACCGTGGTGTACCGTAGTGTACCGTAGTGTACTGTGTAGTTCTGACTGCTGAAGGGACCAGAGTTATTACACAGGTCTTAATAGCATCAGCTAACTGCTGACTTTCACCTTTTCTTATGGTAATCACTGTGACCTTTCTGACCTCCGTTGCCCAGCTACACCCCCCGCCCCAGGGGTTGAATCCCTCTGCCAGTGTCAGGTCGTACCCTGTTAACAGTCCCCTTCACCTGTGCTGTAACCAGCTGCTGCTGATTGGTTGAGTCAGAGATCAGTTCGTTGGTTCGTCGTTGAATGGTTTTTCACACGCGTCGACTGTCAAACACAGACTGACGTCTGACAGACCGACCATCAGCTCCGATGGGAAAGACTGGGAAAGCTCCTCACTGACCAGTCTGACCAGTCTGACCAGTCTGTAGACGGTCGTCTGTCCGCCTCGTTCAGAGAAGCAGACGTGTTTTAACAGCACATTAACACGGACGTGCCAGGTCTAAAGTCCTAACACGACTCGAGGTCAGGAGTTTAGTTTAGAATTTTAGTCAGATTAAAGTCAGAGTTAGGATTATAGAGGATCATATATTTGTAATAATTCAGGTAATATTTTATTAAGTTCCCACAGAAACTCATTTCTCGTTGGTGTCGCTCAAATGAAACCTCAGAAACCAGTCACCGGGCTGTTCTAATGATATACATGTTTATTATTGTTATTGTTAACTCTGAGACTCTGAGTTGTTGTTAATAAGTTAACAGAGTAAGAACTACACAGAGATTGTCCATTTAACTTGACTGTCCAGCTAACTATTGAGTTTAACTAACTAGTCCCACTAACCGTTTAAAAACATCCACACTCCCCCCACTCCAGTGTTATCTCTCTGCTGTTTTTTCTCCCCCCCCCCCCCCCCAACAACAACATCAACAGCAAGAGCAAGACAA